AATAAGAATTACTTTTTTGCAGTATTTATTTTTAGATTATAAAAAAAAATTTAGATTATTTATAAACCAAAAATATATAATTTTAAAAATAATTTTTAAACCAAAAATTTTTTAGTTTATTTATGACAAACTTTTTAAATATTAATTTTAAACTTATAGTTTCTAATACAATTTTATAGTTTGAATTAAAAGATTATAATTTTAATTATAAATTTTGTAATTTACTAATATTTGTCTTAAAAGCAAAATTTTTTCTAGCTTCAGAAATATAGAAAACTTAAAAAAATTTAATATTAAACTCTAATATTATACTGTACAAACTTTAAACTTTAATTAATTAAAAGTTTTTTAATAAATTTAAAAAATTTTCTTAATAAAGTTGATAAAATAGATCTTTAAAGTCTTTTTTTAATTAGAAAGTATATTATTAAAATTAATATTTAAGATTTTATTAAAAAAATCAAGTTTAAAAAAAAAATACAGACAAATTTGTCTAAATTACAATTTAAGAAATAAAAAAAATTTAATAAATAATAAAATATATTTTCTAACTATAATTGATAGTAATCATCACTGATATATAATTAGCTAATAACAATAAAAACAAAAAAAATTTATTTTATTTACTTTAGAGTTAGGATAAAGCTTGGTATTTTAATAAGAATATTAAATACAGTATATGCAAAATTTAGCAAAAAATTTTTTTATTAGAATATTAAAAGCAGTTTCATAGACAATTTTTTGAGATATTAGTATTTTTTTTTAAAAACAACTATTATTTTTATTATATAAACGAATTTGCATATTATATATGAGACCCACCATAGCAAAAGGAGACAATGAGCCAGTTAATCAGATTTTGAGATTTTATGATAATAATTTGCTTATAAGTTTTATCTTTCTAAAAATATTTTTATTTTATAAAGTCTACTAATAAAAAGTATATTATTTTAAAATTTGTCTTTGTTATTCCTATATTAAAAATAATTATGTGATGATTTTAAATTAAAATTTTTTTAAAATCACATATTTGTCTTAATACCTCTTTTTGCTATGGGTGGTTCTATATGATCTTACAAATTTATTAGCTAATTATACACTAATGATAATAATTATCAGTTATAGTTAGTAATATTCATATATTAAAATTTAGAATAAATATATGTGTTGCATCTAGCAATATCGCTAATTATCGCTCCTATTAATAATTATAACTCAACACGATATACTTAGTTTCGCCTTTAAATATATATGATCTTGTGATCATGTGACCACAGAATGTAGATAAGTAACTTTGTTAATACGATACAAACGAAGCCACTCTCAAATGCAGTAGCACTTTCTTGGTTATAATTACATAATCGCTGCTAAATTAATGATGAAAAATTATGCCATATGCAATAAAATATTAGATCATATACCAAAAAATTTACATAATGTGATATACATATTTCATTGCATACCAAACGATCGCAAATCATATTTAGTGCTAATTTTGTTTCATCGCTTTTACCTTATCGAATTTAAGCCCCTATAAATTTGATTTTTTTCACTTTCACCTCACCAAATTTTTAGAGCTTCATAAGTTCAATTTTTTCATCATTTTTAGCTAACCAAATTTAGGACCTCTTAAGTCTTGATATTTTTTATCACTTTCGCCTCACCAAATTTAGAGCTTTCAAGTCTAATTTTTTCATTGCTATTGCTTCACCAAATCTAGACCTCATAAGTCTAGTTTTTTTTTTTATCCCTTTCACCTTACTAAACCTAGAGCCTCATAAGTCAGATTTTTTTATCGCCTTTACCTTATCACATTTTTTTCATCATTTTCTTCTCACTAAATCTAAAGCCCCATTACCTCAATAATAAAAATGGAATCATATAAGACCATTACAACAAACTTTTCGAACTATAATCTAGAAAAGCTGATAGAAATGGAAAGATATGTTTGCTTTGATAATATTGCTGAAGGTTCTATGCAAGCATTGCTCAATAATGATACCAAGAAGAAAACCGATAATAAGACATTAACTTACCAAGATTCAGAAAACTCTGATGATAATATGCCAGTTGATACAAGCAGTAAGGTAATAATAATATCAGAAGATATACTTGCGGATACTGTATTCAATTCTTGGACAGAAGTGGAGATTTTTTTGAAGACTATAGGAGGTGAAATAAATTTGCATTAATTAAATATTGAGTGAAGAAAAATAAAGTTGGACAAATTTACAAATGAACTTTCATTTGTGAATTTAGAGGAAAGTACAAGCCTAATAAGAATCAAATGAGTACTTAAAATAGCATGCAAAGAAATACAAAAACAAAAAAAGTCGACTGTCAATTGTACGTAAACCTTTTTTACAGAGAAACTGGAACTCATATCTCTATTATCACGCTTGTAAATAAGCACAATCATAATATCAACTTGGATGCTTAAGAATTCGGGCTTAAATACCATTCTCTTGATAAAGATGTTTTGAGAAAGGTAGAGATAATGACTAAATATAGGAACCTGTCAATTATAGCACAGCGAAACATACTAAGACAGCATTTTTCTAATTTGCATTTCCAGAATAGTGATCTTAATAATGCAATTCAACAATTTAAAAGAAAGGAAAATATATATAGGACAAATGATACATCTGACCTGCTTAATTACTTGCTAGTAAATAAAATGGATGATCCTAGGTGTTCTGTAGAATTTGAATTAGATGAGAATAATCGACTTATACGATTATTTTGAATGTTACCCAGACAGATTGACCTGTAGTTGAAATACTGTAATGTAGTTATCAACGATAATATGGCTAAAATTAATATATATCAAATACCTTTAGGGTTATTTGTAATCGTTAATAACAATGGAAGAACACGACTTGTCTGTCAGGTATTAGTAAGTAATAAAACTATTAATACCCATAATTGGATTCTAACTTGCATAAAAAATACAACACAAACAGAGCCTTTGGTCATGTTTACTGATTCAGACCTAGCACTTGATGCTGCAATATGAATTACTTTTCCCAAGACATATGCTGTACACTGTATCTTTCATATTGAGCAGAATTTACCCAAAAATCTCAAATCTAAGATTGGTGATAAATGAGAAGATTTTATGAAACCATTTTATTGATGCCGTAATAGTCTCTGTGAGCCTCTTTTTTAAAAACACTGGAATGATATGCTTAATAAATACCCAATGGCAAAAGATTATTTGTTGCATATCTTATATCCAAGTAGGTAGTCTTGGGTTCATATATACCTTTTAAAAATATTTCTAGTTGGTATAGAAAGTATATCTTGAATCAAATCTTATAATTTGGTTATAAAAAAAGAAATCAAATCCAACTATACATTGTATAAACTTGTGGATCATCTTGATGAACGTTTAAAAACAGAGACACAATAGAATAGATTCCATCAGTATAAAGACTCAACAACATTCACTACTATACCTACTACTAGACATGACCTTTTTTTAATGATAACTAAAAATATTGACAAATATCTCACAGATGCTATTAGTAATATAATTAAAGATGAGATAACACAGTGTTTGTTTCTTATAGCTAATATAATTGAGCCAACACCTGATGACCTTAACTCCAAACAAGAAACTAATGAAGAGACATCATGTGGGTTTCTTGAAGATAATTATGATACACGCAAAATTACTCTTCAGGATATTATAGATAAAGTTGAAAGCGAAAACGTAAAAGAAGTCTAGAGAATCTCTGATATCCGTAAAGAAAAAAATCAATTTATACATTTTATAGTTATCTTAAGCCCATTATCTTTTTTATGTTCGTATCTTATGATCACTTCGAGAGGAATTATTTGCCAGCACTATTTTCGTGTAATAATGCATTCTAAAATTGCAGCTTTTCACATCTCAATGATTCCTTCACAATGGTATAAGAACCTCTATTAAGAAAATCAAATGTACAAAGATGAGAATATTATATTTAATAATGAAATAGGTAATATTGGCATAAGTCAAGATAAAAAGATTCTCCCAATTCAAAGGCTATCTACAGTTTCAGTTACAACTCTGACTACAAGAAAAGCTTTGCAGAAAAGAAATCATTATGGTAAAATTTAGAGATTAGCCCATGAGGTGACTTTGTTGGCAGTAGATAGTAATGATAATGAAATTATTAAAATATTTCAAGGTTATATAACAAGAAAAAAAATGAAAGAGATGAATATAATGATGAAACACAGAATAAAAGAAAGGAAAAAAGACCTTTATACCTGATTTGTACACAAGCTATTTCTACTTTACAGAAATCTTCTGAATCCGCTGCTGATAGTGCTGTAGATGAAAACCAAATCTTATTGAAAGAAGATAATGAAGACAACGATTGTGAAGTATTAGACGATGAAACAATTAGTATTCAAGCTCCACAAGGTGTTCAAAATTCACTTCGTATTATCAGAAGAGAAAGACCATTCAAGTGTTGTTTTATAAGTAGTATAGAAAAGGAGCAAAATTAGAGAAGAACTTCTTCAAAAGGCTTATATAAATGTCATCAATGTGGAGAAGTAGGTCATAATGCAGCTTATTATAAGCGAAAGGGAACTGAAAAAAGTAGCAATTAGTAGAAAACACCAAAATTAAAATATAGTTATGCAGACTTATTTCCTAATTGGTCTAGTTCTCATATTGTGATACAAATCTTTCCTAACGCATATCGTTATATTTAATGTTAGATATAGACAAAACAATTTCATATACATGCAATTTGTTATTCATTGCCATAATTAGTGATGGTCAAAGTAATAATTATGTAATCAAATAGCTAAAATTTAACTATTAGTTATTTCCGAACAAGCAAAAATGCAATTTTGATTCATAAGTTGATTTTTTGTGATATACATATCTGATCTTAAACTTTGATTAGTCAAGCTATATTATAACTAGTACCAGTTTCTTAGGCAAAATTTTGAGTAAAAAGATTTTTTAAAAATGAATATTTTGTTTTGATCTTCACGTTATACCAAAGCGTGATTTGTTATTAAATAAATTTATGTGATTGAAAAAATTTTATTAGTATTTTGGTGACAATTCTGGTAGAGTGTCTAGGATTATGCAATGTAAAATTATGCATATAATTGGCTATTTTTTCGCATCATATAAGGGAGGGTCGGATATTATGATATGAGGGGTATTGTGGTATATTTACATTTTTTGGAGATATCTTGCGACCTACTAACTAGAATTGAACAATTTTAATACCACTTGATTCACCTTACCAGGAGGAATTGAATGATACGAAAAACTAATCATTTTTTCAAAAGTTGAGAAATGATTAGATATTAATATGTAGTTATTATGCAAATTTTCTTTTTTTCTTATTTGGGTGAGAGATTGGCAAAGTACAAAGCATGTACGTACATATAAAAAAGGTTAATCTTATAAAAAGAGTTAATCGTATAAAAAGAGTTAATCGTATAAAAAGAGTTAATACATATAATCTATACTCTTCAATCACATGATGTGAAATTCATCATTATTTTAGAGTTAATTAATATTTGCCTCTTGTTGATCTGTAACTGGTGGTAAAAAACAGAGTTAGTCATATGTTAATAGCTACAGAAGAGCATTAATATTTTAAATAAAATTTTAAATTTTTAGTTGATAGTTCATTTTTTCTTATCTTTTGTTGACATAAATATTAGATAGCTAAGTGAGATTAAGCAATGAAATAGTATCATAGAGTGGCTAGACAAAAGAAGTTTGTTGCAATATATAATATTGGTTATTTGTTATGAAGTTGGAATTGGTATAAAAGAAGTTGTCAAATAGTATCAAATATTGGCTGAACAAGAGAACACTTTTCTTTAGGTTATAATTATGAAGATGGAATTGCATCAAGTAAGATCCTGTGAAAGCTGCAAAATATCATAATACCAGAAATCAGCTGAGCAAGGTTATTCTTTGGCAGAATGTAATCTTGGGTATTGTTATCAGAATAGCATTAGTGTTTCTAAGGATGATGAGAAGAGTATACTACTTTAGTTAGATTCAAGCCATAATCCTTCCTTACACTACAGCAATAGCATGATTGTCTTTAGAAAATAGAGGCTTTTTAACTCAAATTCATATTTTTGTTATTCATTTCCAATATCTTTTTTATTTATTTATGATACTTTATACTAATTTCTATATATTTAAACTAAATTACATTACATATTGACGGATCTTTAATTTACTCTTGTTCATGTATTTATATATGTTCTGAATTTACTGATTTTGTGATTTTCTACAATTATTTAGATAAAAAATTTTTTTGACCTTCTTTAACTTAATTTTTCGATAATCTTGTATTATCAAAATGATGAAAATTTTTTTATATAGATCAAATTTTTCTTTCTCATCAAAAATGTAGCAACTGTTATAAAATGTCTTGAAGCTTAAACTATATTCCTTCTTTATATGAAATAATTCAACAAATTCACACATCACTAGGCCTTTAATAGTATAACAATATCTATACTCTTTATCAAAAAAACTATCATCACTTTCAGCCTTACAAAATTTTTTATACATTGAGATCATGTAATCTATTTTCGAAAGTAATTTGTAATCATTAATTAATTTTTTAAAAAATTCAACAAATCACATAGTTCGATCAATCTCTTAACAATGAGCACGATAATTCCCAATAGACTTAATAGTTGCATCTGTAACTGTTAATGTCAATAGATATTGCATAGTAATATTTAAATGTTCGTAAAGAATGAGAAGTATATATTTCATCCATTCTTTAAGTTCTCCAGAGCTGTAAATATTATTCATTAAATCGTTACAAAGATTTAAAAATAGATCTTTTCTTTCTATATTGTGTATAACATAATCGTGCTTATACTCGTACTCCATATTTAATTTAAAAAATCTAAACATTAGGAAAAATTCATTAATTTTATTAAAATTTAATTAGATTCTCTAAGAACAAAGAATAAATTTTGCATATGATTCAAACAATTACAATTAAACTTATTCTGTATGTGAATAATCGCTATATTAAGCATGCATGAAGAAAAATTATCAACAATGCTTCCATTATAAAGTTATAAATAACTTCATTTAAGCAAATAGTTTAATTTGTGCTAGCATATTTTTTATGTATTAATTTCCTAATTTATTCATTTATTTGCAATTATTAAAAAAAAAATCAATCACGTTTATAGTCTGATTCAGTGTTCAGCTATTTTTAGTATTTAGAACAGTACTAGCGATATCATGAAAACAACTAAACTAAATTTGATTAGATGCTATAAGTAGCTAAACACTCTAGTCTGATTGCAAACATAAAATTATAATTATATCGATACTTATTTTTGTCAAAAAAAAATCACTTAATTGTTAGTACTGCGATATTTTAAGGAATCGAAAGTCATTGGTAATTATTTAATAATCAAGTGATTTCATTTTCTGCAACAATTACAGTAATGATATTATTAACGATCGTAATTATAATCATGACTTCAGGCAATCGTGATTATAATCATAAAATGATATAAAATAGTTTAAATTTGTATAATTAAAAAAAAATAAATATATGGTAAGATTAATAAAAAAAATATCAAATACAAACAGCAAAAATGAGTTCTAAAATTGTGTCCAAGTTCAAAAATACAACTAACTTCAAAATCATAACTAAGCATACTATAACTAAGTTCAAAAAAGTTAACCATAGTATACATTTAAAAGCAATTGAATCTGCTCTTAAAGCATTTACTAGTTCTGAAAAACCCAGCATTTGGGTGACTGTATTAAAATTTAGGGTTGCTATAATAATTTTAAGCTGTGCCATTAAGAATAATGGCTTGCCCAACCATCTTGGCTCTTCAACGATTTTAAGCACTCATGAAGAAGAACAATTAGTAGGTTATTATAAAAATATACAGAGATTAGAGTTTGGCTTTACACGATCTGGTGTAAATCACTATGTGATGAATATTATAAGAAGTAACAACTGTAATCATCCTTTTAAAGATAGTGAACCTGGCAAGGCCTGGTGGGCACATTTTATGAGGGACCATCATGATTTGTCTTTTCGCATACCTCAGACATTATCAGAAGCACGTATGCAGAGAACCAATCCAACTATTATTAAAGATCATTTTGATAAACTTTATAGAATAATACAAGAAAATTTACTTACTGCTGATAGAATTTGGAATATAGACGAAACTGGTTTCATTATAATGCCTAAGGTTCAGAAGGTTATAGCTATAAAAGGCTCTTGTCAAATACATAAAGTTTCATATAGCAATTCACATAATCATATCTCTGTTGTCCTGACTATTTCAGCTGCTAGCAGCTACATTCCTTTATTATTTATTTACAAAGGCATCTGTGCAATTTCCAATTTGTTAGATGGTGCCCTGGCCAGTACCTTTATGGCTTTTACAGACTACAGGTACATGAGGAGGATCTATTCCAAATATATATTGAGCACTTTATTAGCTCTATTCCTCCTCGTTGTCCAGTTCTCCTAATACTTTTTTTTTTTTTTTTTAAGGTAAAGTTTTGCCTTTATCTTTATTAATATTTTGTATTAAGAATTCACTATGGGTTTCTCTGGCCAGAGCCAAGTTACAAAAATTTTACAAAAATGAGACTCAGACTATCTAAACTAGAAATTCTGATTCATCTGCAACCTAAACCTACTAGAGTGGTTAAAACTCACCTAGATTTGATAAT